TTATCATGTAACAAATTTATCATATGATATTTATTTATCATGTTAAATTTGTTATCACGCTATCTTGTTTGTAAATTTCTTAGAAACATTTAGTAGTTAGCATGATAACCGAAAAGTTACCATTTTTAGAACCTTAGATATAAATATTATTCGAATAACGTATATGTTAGCACGTTACCAGTATTAGATAACATTGTTAACATGCTACGAATGTTTGTTATCATGTTACTATAATTGTTATTATGTTAATTTTGGTAAAAGAAAATATAATTTTAATTATGTTTTTTATACTCAGTTATCACTATAATCATATACTTTTAACTAGATATAATATAAGTTAGCATGTTATAATATAGTTAGCACATAAAATTACAGTGTTTTGGTGGTGTATTTCTCTTTTCAGCGGTGGTGAATTTTGGATGAATAGTGATGACGGAAGTTTGATGAACATAATTACCGATTTGCTGATCAGAATTTAGTTTTTATGATGAATGGCATTTTATGTAAATAACTAAACTAAAAAGGATAAAGAAGATATTTGTTAGGAGAGAGAACTAATTTACAGTTAACTAATTTTTGCAACATCCATTGGTATTGGAGTCAATTTGGTAACTAACATATTCTGGACTCGAAATTAGACAATCAGTATAATGAACTTTTTGTTGTGAGAAAGAGAATGAAGGTTGTGTTATTCATGACTGAAGAGCTCTTTATATAGAGTACATAGTAGGGTTCCAAGGGAAATCAACATTGGGGAGAAGTGGGCCTAATGGGCATCCACCTATGGACTAATGGGCATCCACTTACCCATAACACTCCCCCTTGGATGTCCATTATACAAAAATATATTCTAAATACATAAATGATGCCTCGTTAAAACCTTTACCAGGAAAACCCATGGGAAAAACCTTGGTTAAGGAAAAAGAGTGCATCGCGCAATCACTCCCCCTCATGAGAACATCCGTCACAATCAGATGACCTCTTTCCTTGAAAGTTGTAGTTGAAAACTCCTTGTCAGGTAAATCTTCGAGTAAATCTTCAGTCTTTGCTTGAACATATTTAGACATTGACATCGTCATTCTTCTGTAGTGCATGAATCTTGCTGGTGATATCTTGATCATTCTCTTTGCTTCAATTGATCTCATAATGGATGAGAAGAACTTTGGAAAGGAATTAAACTTTCATCTTTAGACTTCCTTTAGATGTTTCTCATTTGTGTGTTCTTTGTTGCCTCATTAAAACCTTTCATGGAAAAACCCAATGGGATAAAAACCACATAAGGAAAAAGAGTACAACCACACATATCATCTTATATCTCCCCCTTGGAAGCATCTTCTTCAAGAGATGCATTCCAATAATCAATACCATCTTTTGGAGATTGCTATGAATATAAAATCAGTTAATAAACTCATTTTTCATAAGTAATATTTCTTGTATATTTGGACTTCTGGCCAAACTTTCCCTTTACATACATTCTTGTAAATGTCTATCTTGTATATAAGTTATCTCATGCTCATTTTGTTCTCATCTTTCAGTTATGAAAGAGACCAACACATTTCTCAAATATAATTTAAATATGGTACTTCAAGACCAAATGTGAGCATTTTTAATGCAAATCTTACAAGGATCTTTTGAGATACATCTCTTTTGTTAAACTGTGAATATGAGATATCTTAAGACAAATTTGTCTTTCCAATATCTTTTATCTAATTTCGACAATTCTTCAGGAATTTCGATAATGTTTAGATTAAAGATCTCTTTTGATCCAATAAATTTTTATAATATAGTGGGTACTGATTGTATATGTATGTATATATACACTTTTGTGATTGTACCCCACTGAGAGTATTTCTCTTCATTTGATCAAATAATTAGAGTTCTTCGGGAACTAGTTTTGATATCATTAATCCTTCAGGAATTATATCCTTCAGGGACTTTTATAAAAATGTCATTATTTAGTGGGTCTTATGAGTCAAGTTCTTCTTTCATTGCCACACTTAATGAACTTGAAAGTTGCATCCACCACATGCCTATTATAACCCACTTGTTTTACACTTTTTAAGGTGTAAGGACTTCTGGTCCAAATACATTTCTCTTTCTAAGAGATTTTAGTTTTGTGTCTATTGCTTCTTTTCGATTTGGCCAAATCATTACTTTGTGTACACAATGCAATAGACTTTGTTTCATGATCCTCTTTCTCATTCATAACATCAACTGCTATAATGCATGCAAATATTTTATTTACGACGTCGATTTGCTTTTATGGTTCCATTTTATTCCATACATGACATAATTAATTCTCGAGATCTCTTCTTTGTCTCAGGTACCTGAATTTCTTTCTTGTCATGTTTAATGTCTCTTCTTGAGATTTCAAAAACCTTTGTTTCCTCGGTTTAACCATTATAAATTTATGCTCATTTTACTTTACCGAGGTAACTAATATTTGGAACCAACAAGTCTATCACACTTCATGCGTTCTTTAGACTTACTAGCAGCTTGATATTGTCCTTCTGGGAAATCAATTATTCTTAGAGCATTTACAGCTGGTAAGTGACTCAACACTATATTTGGGTCAGTAATTGTATCTGGCAATTGATACAGTAAGTTTTGTGAATGAATTATCTTTTAGACTTTTATTTCACATACTATCGTCTGAGGATCAATGATAATTCATTCTAACTTTAATCTTTCTCCAGCTGTTTTATTTTCTCCCCCTGATGTTGGAAAGACTGAATCACTAAAATGACAGTCTACAAATTGAGCCATATTTAAATCCTTCATGGATAGCTCTAAATATTATCATAGGAGATTAACATCCAACATACATTTACTATCTCTTTCGAGGGTCCATCTTATATTGTTGTGGTGGAGCATTATGGATGTATTCTGCACATCCATAGATCTTTAGATGGAAAACTTTGGTTTCTGACCTAAACCAATTACGATGGGGAGAAATTTTAGTTATTCATTGGCTTTATGCGAATTAATGCTTTTGCATTATGTGTAATTATGAACATTTGCTACTGGATGTTCAACATTTATTCTTACAAACATGTTTTTCTCAACAAAGATTTAAGATGTGATTTCACTAGCACTACCAAGTAATCTCGCAAACTTCAGGTTGCAGATATTGTAACATTGATACATACAACCATAACATTTCTCTTACTGGATGATCAGTCCATATAATGGTTTATTAGACCACAAAAGTTTCTTATATTCTTTCTAGAAATTGGATACATTCCAAATCTATTTTGGCTAGTTGGTAATTGTATAATCATAATGTCTTATGATTAAACATCACATTATAGATAATTAAGAAGAATCTTCAAGTTCTTCAATAAATCTTTACATGATGTATTTTATTTCGCATAATTCTTGAACCGAAATGGTCTAACCAGCTCATGCCAAACTATGTTATATTCGGTAAACTTCTAGTTTACTACATAACATTTACATCTCCTATATAATCTTTGTCTATGATGAGGCATTAGATAGGGGCTGTTTTCAAAAGTAGTTCACAAATTGAGTCAAATGCAAAAGTAGTTCACTCTTTTTTCTTCCTTCTTTATCCTCACATATTTGTGATAATAACGAAAATGCCATTACTTTCGTCTTTGAAGTCTAACCGTGAAGTCTAACACTCGAAAAAAAAGGTCCAAAGAAACCTCATCTTCTTCATTTATTCACGAAAATGCCATCACCATCAATTCGTCCAACAACCATTCTCAACCGAAATCAAGCTTTCAATGCACGATGTACTCTTCAAACATATATACAAACTCATTATATCATCTCATAAACTTGTATTGGTCAATTTCTTCTCAATTTTCACCCCAAGAATACACATTTTCATCTTTTCAAAGTTTATGTTCTTAGATCTTCCCATTTTTGGTGTGGGAGATCATTATAACGGTTGGGGAAGTTTGCTAAAGCTCTAAATCGAAGTTATAGGCCGTCAACGAAACATAAGATCACGGCAAGGTAAACTTTCCGGTAGATCTGAGTGAATCTCATATTTTTGCAGGTCCTTAGACTTCATAGCGAAGTCTAACAAACTAGTTTTGCAATTGATTTTTCAAAAAATTTAGAGAGTAGACTTCACAATGAAGTCTACCCATATTCCTTTGAAAACAAAAAAATATGGCGTAGGCTTCAGAATGAAGTCTACTCGAAAAGATTAGTTTTGCAATTGACAGAATAAAAACTTTTTATGGGAAATCTATCTGTGAAGTCTGCTTGAATAAAAGACTAGTTTTGCAAACTTTAAGTAGTTTGTTTTATCGTGAAGTCTACCCCTGAAGTCTATTAATGTTGTATTAGGCTTCATTCAAAGTCTAATACTTCTAGACTTAGTCTAATGGGTTAGACTTCATTTCGAAGCCTAATTCTTGATAGACTTCACCAAGAAGTCTAATAGTCAACGTTTGTCGGAGTAGACTTCACGATGAAGTCTATTTTCCTAAATTCAAAATTCAATAAATTGCAAAACTAATCCCTATGAAGTCTAATTTTGTTGTAGACTTCACCGATAGACTTCATTACCTAGTTAGACTTCATTTTTAAGCCTATTCACGATAATGAAGTCTATTTGTAAAAGTCAAAGCTTGGTCAATTGCAAAACTAGTCTTTTTTTTTCGGTAGACTTCACGTGTAGACTTCATAAAAAATTGTCATTTGAAAAATTGCAAAACTAGTCTATTAGACTTCACAGAAGTATACTAAATAGACTTCCATCGTGAAGTCTACTATTTAATTTTTATTTGAAAACGCTTTTTGGAAAATATATAAGGAATTTTTAAGATTTCTTGAACAATTAGTTGATTTAGTCTATTTAGTTGCTTGTGTGTTAGTTTGACATGCTTATTCGTTGTATATTTCGTGAAAACGGTTTTCTTGTGAAATTGAATATTAGACAATACTAGGTAGACTTCTAGGTGAAGTCTACCACTAAAGTCTACTGAAGTCTAATGCGGTTGGTTTTTGTTTACTTGCAGGAAATGGTTTACATTGCATCTGTTTATGGAGAATGGGTGATAAAGGACAATTTGTCTTGGCATTTTGAGGTTGATTATCGGAAAGGAGGTAGAATGTTCTCGTTGAGGGATGGATGTACACATGATGAGCTTATTCAAATGGCTTTAGAGGATTATTCGCTAACCAAGATCGGACACCGTTTGGAAATATCATATCCATTACCAGAAGTGTTCACTCAGCAAACGTGTAATGATTCTCCGCCCATGTTTGTCACAAACGACAGACAAGTCGAAAGCTTGATCGAGCTAAGTAGAAATCATGGTGTACGACTTTGTGTCTCTAGCAAAGGAAGGATGAAGACAACGTAGATGGACCTTTGGATGAAGACTTAGATGAAAATCTGGATGATGAGTTGAAGGAAGAGTTCGATGAAGAGTTGGATGAAGATTGGAGCGCAGAACGAGAAGAAGTGTCTGAAGAGTCGGGTTGTGATGAGGATGATGTAAGGGAAAAAGCTTATGAAGGCGATGATGACACACACGCGGACTACAGTCAGTATGGGAAAATTAAAGATGAAGACGTTGTCATTGATGTTCCTTTCGATGATCCCCGCCTTTTAGGGCGTGGTGTGGGTCATCGTATAGGAATTGATAATTGGGAAGACAATATTTACGAGCACCAGAGCTTTGATACCAAGGCCCAACTTATCTCTGAGTTGCGTTTGACCGCGGTGATGACAAGATTCTCATTCAGGATAGCTGCGTCTACAAGAAAAGTGTTTGTGGCCAAATGCAAAGTCGCTGGATGCAAATGGAGGCTTAGAGCGGCCGTAAAGAACGAACCCTCCACGTTTTGGGTGACAAAGTACGTGAAGTCGCATACATGTTCTGTTTCTGATCGAGTACGTAACCATAAACGTTGTACAACGAAGTATATTGGAAAGCTTTTTCTTGATCGGACAGGGCTCATTGAAGGAATTGTGCCGCAACACATAAGAGACTCTATGAGGAGGATGTTTGGAATGAAGCTCGACTATACGGCTTCATATAGAGCTTTGAAACATGCCCAAGACTTGGTGTGGGGAACAGCTGAAGAAGGATACGCGAATCTGCCTTCTTACTTGCAAAGAATCAAGGATGCAAATCCGGGAACTGTGACTGACCTTGTCTGTGACTCACAGGACCGTTTTAAGTACTGCTTTCTATCACTCGCGGTTCTATATCTGGTTTTCAGTATTTGAGGAGAGTGATTGTGGTTGATGGGACTCATCTTACTGGGAAATACGGAGGAGCTCTACTCGTGGCTGCCGGACAAGACGCCAACTTTCAAATATTCCCGCTAGCTTTCGCAGTGGTCGATGCTGAGGATAGTGAATCATGGGAATGGTTTTTCAACAAGCTTAGAGATTGTTTCAGGCAACTTCCGCCAATGGCGATAGTCTCTGACCGTGCCGCTGCCATAGCTAGAGCATTGGAATCGTTATGCCCTGGGCATCAAGAGGAATATGCTACTATCACCTCCAAGGTAATATAGTAAAGGACTTCCACGCAAAGGAGATAATGTATATGGTTAAAGGTGCAGCCTACGCCCATACGGTGCCTGAATACGACCGTTACATGGACCTCATAAGAGCTGCGAACCCTGCTAGCTACTTACTTAGAGCAGATCCGAAGTTATGGTCGAGAGTTCATTTTGAAGGTGATAGATACAATATAAAGACGAGCAACATCGCAGAATCTATTAACTCGGCTGTCAAGAAAGCAAAAGGATTACCTATTCCTCGTCTTTTGGAGTTTATTAGGGAGAAGCTCGGGAGATGGTTTAGCAAGAGGCGGGAGGATGCACTGAGTCTCACAACCAGACACAGCAGAGGTGTTGAGTACATATTGGCCATACGGTCTTACTATGCGGGAAGTATGATCGTAGATCGCATAGACGCTTGGCGCTTTCATGTTAAAGGCGGGAGACGAGATTGTAATGTCGACTTGGAGAATCGAACATGCTCGTGCGGTGTGTATAACGTTGAAAAAATCCCTTGCTCTCATGTTATTGCAGCTGCAGCCGAAGCTAACGTCGACATGTCCTATTACGTATGCGCCACTCATTCGACGCCTTCCTTGTTCTCAACATATGCACATCCGATTTACCCCAAAGAGGGAACTGACTCCCACGTGAAGCCTGTTCGCTGTTTGCCTCCAGGGGAGAGTGTCCCTTCTGGAAGGCCGAAGAAGTCGAGGTGGCAAACTTGGCTAGAGATGTCTAGGAAGAAAAACAATAAACCGAGGAAAACGCATAAGAAGTACAGCTGCTCTAAGTGCAAGGAACCTGGTCATACTCGCCCCAATTGTGTAAGTTTATAAAGCTGTCCCTTCATGCTTTGCATCCACATTGAGAGGAGCTGACATCTTTCATTTTCTGCACTACACAGGTCGCTGAAGACTGACTTTGTGTTTTTAGTCTTCTATCTGAAGTCTATCTATGAAGTTTATTGTGAGTCTGGCCAATTTGTATGTTTGTGCGTGTTTTAGGTGGATGAAACGGAAAAACACTGGTTTTTAGTTTTCGTGAAGTCTGACAGAAGTCTATCTGAAGTCTATCTATGAAGTTTACTTTGTGGCCAATTTGTATGTTTTGTTCGTGTTTTAGGTGGATGAAACGGATAAAAACACTGGTTTTTATTTTTCGTGAAGTCTGACCAGAAGTCTATTAGGAAGTCTATCTATGAAGTTTACTTTGCGGCCAATTTGTATGTTTTGTTCGTGTTTTAGGTGGATGAAACGGAAAAACACTGGTTTTATATTTTTCGTGAAGTCTGACACAGAAGTCTATTAAAGTCTATCTATAAGTTTACTTTGTGGCCAATTTGTATGTTTTGTTCGTGTTTTAGGTGGATGAAACGGAAAAACACTGGTTTTATATTTTTCTTGAAGTCTCACAGAAGTCTATGTTGCAAGTCTATCTGTGAGGTTTACTTTGTGGCCAATTTGGAGGAAAGTATACGAAATTCAATAATAACAAAACAATAGACTTCTGAAATACAATAGACTTCTGAAATATACCAAGTGCACAATATACCAAAACAATAGACTTCTGAAATGTGAAGGCCGATCAGCGATAGATTACAAAAGAATAATTAGCCTACACCATCATCGGGTTCTAAAGAGCATTAGTTTACGGGATTACACCTACACCTTTCATAATCTCTCGTCATACAAATCGACATTGTCCCAATCATCTGGGTCCTCGACCGGTCCACGGCAGTTGATCTCATGGTACATATCAGACGCAATCTGCTCCCTAAACATGGTGATGTTTTTCTGACACAACGTCTTCGGAAATGCGGCATATCCGACTGCCAGGCACTCGATGAACTTGAGGACAAACACGCCACAATCTCCAGCCCCCACTTGCTGCGGCACATCCTTACTCGGACGGCTGTGCGTGTACTTCGCATCGAAGTAGACGCATTTGTCCTCAGTCCTTAGCCGCATAGGGTTCCACCAACAAGTCCATTTCCGCATCATCGAGCCAGTCCACCATACTGTCGTAGATGGTAATGTGCCTTTTGGGTATGGAGACATGCAGCGCGACCCAATGCTTATTTTGATATTCAATGGAATGAATAAATCATCAACATCATAACCCCATCGCTTATTGCTGGGCTGGCTTTTCGGGAGATTACCAAAGTACCAGTCCAGCGAATTAGGAGGCAGCATTTGACATCTCTGAAACCTGGGCCAGTCCCTTTCCCAAAATTGAGTGATATGGCTGTTAAGGAAGCAGATCCTATCATTTTTAAACAACTCTGGTCGCGTTGCTAGGCGGTGAGTCATCATGGTGGCCCAGGACTTCATATGCTGCAATGGAAACAAAGAATTCGACTATGAGGACTAAATATGAAGTCTATGTCATAAGTCTAACAGTGAAGTCTACTTGTGAAGTATATTTACGAAGTCTAACAACGTACGCTATCCGATAGCCATTGAAACCCCGTGAGCAAAGTAAACCACCAGTGCCATTCCGGGTAATCGAACTTGTCCGGCTCCGGCTCTGTAGCTGCAGAATAACCCCTGAAACATTGGTAAATTCTCGTAAGCCTCTATAATTTGGTCAAACAACGAAGAGACAAAAGAGTTTAGGGGCTCACGGTAATCCGGAGACGAATGCCCGCATTGGTGTTATCCTTTCCTCGAGAGGTCGAGCAAATGGATTATACCCTAGAGGTTCATTGCCACCGGTTGCTTTCTTAGGTTCAGGTGCTTTCTTAGGTTCAGGTGCTTTCTTCGGATTAGCTGCTTTCTTCGGAGGAGGTGATTTCTTCGGATCTGCTTTCTTCGGATTAGCTGCTTTCCTCGGTTTAGAGATGATCTTAAGTGATTTCGGTGGGGAATTGGGTATCTCCGGGGGGTTGTTTAGGATGATCCTTCTAGCGGTGCTGTTTCCTTGGAACTCACCTTTCTGAGTAAACGCCAGCTTCCTTACTCTCTCACTTTTCCCTCTTGCCATAACATTAGCCGCCTTGATCTGCTCTTCCTGTTGCCTTTTCTCTTCGGCTTCCTCAGAATCAGTTGGAATATGTGTCCGGAGCCAAGTGCAATCCGTATCTTCCTGTTAACATTGCTCAAACACAAGAGAGATAGAGAGAGACAAAACAGATAATGAGTCACTAGAAATTTGAACTTTTATTTAAACAGGAGGGAAAGTGTACAACGCAACGCAACACACTACAAACAGAAACATACACACATCACTTGTTCTTTTTCACAGCGACCCTATGACTCCTACGCACATATCTCTTTTCAACTACTTTATCAGAGTTTTTAGATCTACGTGGAGAATGAACGGTACTAACCGTTCCACCAGGCGGAGCCGTCTTCCCTTCACCGGCATCGGACTTATCCGGCTCCTCATCGGACTTCTCCTCATTCTTCTTCTCCAGCTCCTCATTCTTCTTCTCCAGCTCTTCATTGGCCTTCGCAGAATCCTCATTGGACTTCGCAGTATCCTCACTGGACTTCACAGAATCCTGAGCCTGAGGATGCGAAAGCTTCTTGACAATCCTCCCTACCACAGCGACTTGAGCGGTGAGGACCTGAATCTTTTCCTGGGTCTTACTCATCTCCTCGAAGTGTTTTTTGGTGAAGTCTTTAAAAAGCTCCTCAATCTTCGCCTCAAGACCTTTCCAGCCAGCACCAGAGGCCTCCGCAGGTGAACCATCTGAGGTCCGAGCTCTTTTGACACTTATCGCTTCATCATCATCAGCCTCATCAGAGAGACTCCTCTTGCCATGAGACTTCTCTGACTTCACAGACTTCTCAAACTTCACCTTCTTCTACTTCACCTTCTTAACCGCCAATATCCCTTCTCTAACCCAGTCAGCTGGTTTCCACACCCATCCTCCACCAAATTCCCCAAGCAAGGCCTTGATGATGTTGTCCACCTTCTCGTCATCTATTTCCTTGTCCCAACGTGGGTACACGTCTGCCTTGTCCACCATTACCATGTGATTGAAAAGCACCTGCAAAACGTTATCAGAAAAGTCAAGAATTTTGGATATTATGATTAATATGCGGAGAGTACAAGGCAAATGAATTACCTGCTTCTTCATGGTTCCGATAACATATCTCTTCCCTCTGATTCCATTGAATGCTAGCAGCGGTGGCTCAGGATTATTTGGCCTCGGATCACCGTTTTCTTCTCCGAACCTCGGCATAGCATAGTACGCCCACACTTGCACGACTTCAGCAAAGCCTTCGAGGCTGAATGGCTTGGACACGTCTGCTTTCTTTATGGACTTGATGAGGGTCTTGAAAGCTACTCGCCCCCAGGGATAGTTTTCAAACTTCTCCAAGTCCATAACTTGACTAGCCAGTGCTACTCGTGTATGAGTGGAACTTTTGCGAGCATCAATGAAGCCAGCGTATACGGCCAAAAAACCAAGTCTCAGCCTATCCTCTCTGCTCCACTCTCCGGCCCACTGGCACGCTGCTAAGAGTTCGTCAACGCTCGGACCAAGCTTCTCATTCACACCAAGCTTCCGCCAGAACTCTTTCATCTCGTCTGTGTTAACAGTCTCTGGCTTCGTCAGCGCTTCTTTATACTCGCAGTTAAGCCCGGTGATGTGTTCAAACTCGTTCAGAGAAAATCGCACTGGCTGTACACCCACGGCACTCCATATCTCATACTTCTTCTTGCATGCTACTTGCATACTGAGCATAGTCTGTGCCACCTTCGATGCCCAATTAAACTCGAGCTTCGTGAACCTGAAGAGGGGTCCCAGCTTAGAATTCTCAAGCTCATCCCATTCATCTTCAAGTGTGGTGTGCATTTGAGACCACAGTGCAGTGTTCTTGCTATAGTAGACAACACTGCGATCATAATCCGGTTCTTCTCCTTCTGTGAACAACCTCCTAGGAAATGTCACGGCGTCCATACTGAAAACACATTGAAAATATGAGAAATTAGGAGTCTACAATTTTACACGGCATAAATAAAGTCTAAATATGAAGTCTAACTAATAAAGTCTAAGTATGATGTCAACATACGAAGTCCTAATGAAGTCTAACTATGAAGTCTAACTATGATGTCTATCAATTCTAAAGGTGAAGTCTGTACTTTAAGTCTGCTCTACTCTAGCCAACCGCCGCTAAAGAGCGGCTAACTAAACCCTAACAATAGACTTTTACCTTATTCTTTGCGGTTATGAGGGCCAGCAACGGCGGCGGATACTACTAAGAAGCGCAACGACGGCGGATACTACTATCCGGCAACGGAGACCTGCCACAGATCTACAATCGATTAGTCCATGGTTTGAAGGGCGTAAGCAGAGAGAAAAAAGTGAAAGGGAGATAACTAACCGGCGGTGCGATTTAATAGGTCGTTCGATTCCACAGCGGCAACACGGACAACGGCAACACGGACAGCGGCAACCAACGGTGGCGGAAGGGTTCAAAAGAAGATTCCACTGTGAGTATAACGACAGTAGAGGGAAACAGACACAGACACGTATATCACTGATATATGAATATGACTTACAGAAGTATACTTCGGAGGAGGAAGGGGAAAAGGCGGCGGCGACGATAGTGGGTCTGTCTTTCTTCTTCGACGGCGACGGTGGGCGGAGAGAACATGCAATCGCCTATCCGACAAAGAGAGAGAACGGAACGGACTTGGGTTTGCGAAAGTGAAATGTGAAAGTGAAACCCTGATTTTGGGTTTCTCACTTTCGATTATGGCCGGCTAATTTTGGTTAAACCCAATTACAACAAAATTATAATTTCCTTGACCGGTTCTGTTCAAAAACCGGAATTGATGTACAAAGTCTACTCGTGAAGTCTACAAATTGAACTTTTAATGAGAAATTTATTCGCCCAAAATATTTCGTTTCCCGCCCTAAAATTTCGTTTCCCACTCGTTTTTTGAATAAAAGACTTCATAGCAAAGTCTAACTATGAAGTCTACCGATGAAGTCTGACTTACCCTAAACCCTAAATCGAATTTTTGAGATCAAAGCTATAGAAAACATCAATTATGAATATATAATCACAATTTACATTATAAACTATAAATTCATTAGCTTTAAATCGTTAAACAAACCGCAAACAATTTTTTATGTCAAAATTCTCTAAACCCTAACAATCATACTCATAAACCCTATACATTGTACCTCAAACACTAAGCTTGATGATTGGTTTACTCATGAAACTTATAAACTGATTAATTTCCATGAAAATTTATTTTACATAGATAGGATTTGTCTTCATTTAGATTATTTATAATTTTTTTAAGCCTAAATATTTTTTATAGATTTTAAACTTTAAATTTAAGATTTTGTTATTTGGTAGACTTCTTCAGTAGACTTCACACAATATTTTTTGGATTATACCATAATTTGTATTACCGGTTTTAAATTGATCAATTTATATGCAAATTTATTTTTCATGGATAGTACTTGTCTTTGTTTAAATTATGTGTAAATACCTTCATCAAAATATTTTTAACAGATTTCAAACTTTAAATTTACGATTTTGCTATATATTAGACTTCGGGAGTAGACTTCACGCAGTTTATAGGTTACAAACATAATTTCTCTTACTTGAGTTAAATGGAGTCATTTTTATGCAAGTTTATTTTTCTTGGATGCCAAATGTTCTAATCTTTTTATGTATAATTTTTTTGATCAAAACAATTTCCTATAATTTTATAAATTAAATTTTGAGTTGTTTAGGAATTAGACTTTCATGATGACTACATACCGTAGACTTCATGAATAGACTTTAAACAGGGTAAAACAGACATTGTGACCTAGCGTTTTTTTCTTTGTTCATAAGGGCTTGGTTTGTAATTCTACATGCCCAGAAGACTAGTTTTGCTCTAAATGCAATATAGGGTCTACTTTTGCATTTCAAATCAAATTGTGCACTATATTTGGCAATTCCCCCATTAGATAGTGTATGTTATTTTTTTTCAAAATAATTTTACACTATTGAGTTACATTATATATGATTCATCAGGATTATTTTTAGTGTGAACATAATCTTCTAGATGTTCCACTTTCTAGTGATTGAGGGATTCATCCATTCTCCCCCTCGAGATGATGTCACTTCATGTTCATCAATCTCGAATGGAATCCTAGTATAAAATCAATAATATATCCAACTTGAATCATGTTTTATATCTTTGATTCTTTAAACTTTTTATATTTCTATTATGTGTTTGATTCTTTTCACTTCTGGGATTTCAAAGATATAATGCATCAAAAAAATTTACTATAAGCAAATATAAATTTATATATACTCTTCTGGAGATGTGTATCTTTTATTTGCTGCCATCTTTATTTTCTCACTTCTTGTGAGAATTTGAGTTCTTGAAATAAAACTCTTTGGTTTTGACCTTAACATGAACTATAAAAGATTCATATTCATGTCTATGATCATATCTTTAATCATTCATATCACATTCACTTCAGGGAATGGATCAAAACCAATTAGACAAGATTCAAGATTTTCATTAGTAACTCATTATTTTATCAAAATAATTTCTTAAACTTTTTTAATAATATTTTGTCAGCTGGACAATATATGCCTTTTATCATCATTGATTTACATTATCTTCTAGATAAATAAAAATCATTTATAGACTTCAAGTCTTGTAATCTTATAATGCAAATACAAAATATTCATATAAAGGATAAGTAGAAAAATAAATAAATATTATCAAAAAATATATATAAACAAAATATAATAATATAATAAAAATAAATAATTAATATAAATAACATTACCTTTTTATTATCACTTCAAGTGACAAATTTAATTTTAAGAATTTATTTGCTATTGTGTCTACTGGACAACAATATTTTTAAAATATTCCTTAAATATATTTATGCTATTGTGTCTGCAGGACAACAATATTTTCATAATTTCTTCTTATACATTTTTATTAGTAATATATTTTCACTTATAAACTTCAAGTTTATATGGTCTGAGATGTAATTATCTTTAGATAGTTCTATTAGATCATATCATTTCAGATGATTGTTCATTTTCTTTAGATTGCTATATTAGATCACTTCTAGTGATCATGCCTTTCTTTTTACTCTATGGTAAAATTATTACATTTTAAGGTCATTAGAGATTTTATAATAGATAAATACTCATAAATATTAGACAAAATATTCTGTATATAATCTACACATGAACAATGATAATATTAATTACTCAATCAATCACCAATTAGATTATTTCCATCATACCATTAGGTTCTCAATTAAAGCATGTGATTAACAATCAATTAGAACATGAGACAAAAAATGTATAAATACAAAACCAATTTAATTAACAAATCAAATTTATTAATAGGACTAATCATATTTTAAACAAATAGCCAAAAAGAAACCGAAGAAACTGATTTCTATTTAAAACAACCTCTTATCAATTCAAAATAATTTAGTGGATTCAATTAAACCAATATAAACACATTAGTCAATATAATCATCAAATCAGATTAATTCAGTCAATAGTAATTTAAGACAAAAATTTAAAGCATGGTCTTATTTGATCAAATGGTCAAATTAACAATTTAATATGGTCAAATATTGCAATAATATTTCAAATTAATGGTCAAATTAATTCAAACTATGAATTTCTTCTAGATAATTTTCAAAAAAAAATATTCTATTTTGCAAATTTAATAAATTACGAAAATAGTTTAAGGAAATACATATCATATGAAAAGCAAATAAAAATAACTAAGAACAATAAATGTATATGCAAATAAAATAATAACCAATAGATATAAAATCCTTTTGGGATATAAATAAGATATAAATCCTGCAGGGATATATATAAAATAAATAAAATATAAATCCTTTAGGGATATAAATAAAAATAAAATATAAATAGAATATAAATCCTTCAAGGATAAATATAATTGAAATATATAATTTCTTCAACGAAAAATAATATATGAATTCTTCAGATATATATATATATATGTTTATAATCTTAATCCTTCAGGGATATAATTTTACCAGAGAAAAAAAAATTATAGCAATTGGATATATAATTACGAAAATAAAATAAATATATATAAAGCATGTGTTTGCTAAATCCAAATATTATCAATAAGTAATATAAATTAAGTATTGATAGAAATGGATTTAAGTAGAATAAACACAAATCAACAAAGTAATAGAGATTACTCATTGAATTTGTGAATTTACTATAAGAACTATTATTAGAACTTTTGATAAAGAAAGAAATAGAAAGCTAAGAGGTAGAGACTCGTACTGATAACGTGTTGTGAGAAAGAGAGAATGAAGGTTGTGTTATTACATGAGTGAAGAGCTCTTTATATAGAGTACATAGTAGGGTTCCAAAGGGAAATCAACATTGGGGAGAAGTGGGCCTAATGGGAATCCACCTATGGACCTACTGGGCATCCACTTATCCATAACATTTTTGTTATATCTCTATTAGCAAACGGATAAAGGGTACCTAACAGTGTCAATCTACTGAAGTGGGTGGAATCTTATATATAATTAGTGAGTTGCTCTCTCCATCTAAAGTGTCCACATCAGTACAAAAATTTTAAATTATATTTAACTTATTTATTAAATATATGACTATTCATATTTCTTTGCATTTATTCATATTTAATAAAAATACACAAATAAATTAATTAATTAATAGAAAGTATGTGATAATTTGATGTCAAAAGTTATCAAAAATTTGAAATATAAAATAGAAATGAAGTAAAGAAATATTTAACTTCAAATAGTATATATTTACCTTTTTATTTAAAGGATTATCCTATTTAAAGATGTTATAATTTGTTTACAAGTTAAAAAGTTAAATATAAATTAATTAAGATAATAGAAATCTCATGAAAAACTAGAGTTAGTGTTTGTTTTTCTAAACAAAAAGAAATGAAATTTTATATGTAAAGTTAATTATAGTGATAAACAAGAATTTGTTTACAAATTTTAACCTTCAGTCAAATGCATATACATATTTACAAATTTTAACCTTCAATCAAATACATATACATGTTTACAGTCTAATAGAAAAAAAAGTAAACAAACATAATAATTATAACATGATAAATTTTAAAAATAGAAAACTCGAGATAAAGCAGGATGTTAATATCCTAATAAATTTTTAAAAAAAATTATCCATTTTTTGAGTTAACTCAAAACATAACAAAAAGATGAAATTTAACACAAAACAATCATAATTCAAATCAAATAGTATAAATAAAATTAAATAGAAAAACTATCACAAATAATGAGGTATGCGTGGGAGAGGCAGAAACAATGAAGCATTAAATGCAAATTTTATTGCTCTTTGTTCTTAGTTATCAGGTTATCACCATCTCCATTTTTCTCGTTTTCAATTGTGGCTTTTCTTAATCTTCTTTTCTTCAAATTATTAATTTTTCAATCAACATTAAAATAAAACGAAGATAACAAAGTACATTTTCCAAAAAAATATAATATGTTCTCATAACTAAATATACAATAATCTAGATAACCATACCATCATAATATATTGAGACATAAATATATATTAACAACAAAATACATTACCTTATAAAATATTTAAATAAATACATATTTTTAATATAGAGAACCATAAAAAAAGTATCAAGATATTTACTATATTCACAACAAAAAATATATATATATAGATATACACCCAACCATACTATAATATACCCATCTATATTATAATATATATATATATATACACCCAACCATACTATAATATACCCATCTATATTATAATATACCAAATCATAAAATATATGAACGAGAATATACATTATTATATAAATTTATAAAAATATATGGAAAACCATATAAAAATATAGACAACTATATTAACAAATAGAAAAATCTATATATAT